TGAGAAGGAGCAGGAGAGAACTGGGCAGAAAAAAGTCTCTAAAGAACACGGCAGTGTCTGTGTGAGAGTGTCACAGATGCTGCTGGAAGAGACTGGTGATGCCAAAACACATTGCAAATACTCGTGGAGAATAAAAACTTGAAGTGTTTTGAGCATAAATAGAAATATTTTTGTCTTTTTCCTTCTTGAGGATTTTAGAGCATTTGAGATGTTAGAGGAAAGGATGACATGACTTAAACACACATAATCCTCCTGTCGCCCTTATCCCCCACCCTGTTCACCTGTTGTAACATTGTGTTGAGTAGGTGTTACAATTATTTAATTAATTTGCCTTAAGGGTTGTGTGTTTGTGGGGGAAGTTGTATCTCTATCATCTATACGTATATAAAATGATTAAAAGTATATATATTATATACTTTTCTAGTATAAAGGTTAAAATGGAATGTTTCTGCAGGAAGAAGAGTGGAAAGTTGAAGACCTCCTACAAAAGAGAATATGTAAATCTAGGCTGCAACATAGACATTGATCTCTCTGGACCAACCATCTACGGCTGGGCAGTGCTGGGCTACGAAGGTTGGCTTGCTGGCTACCAGATGGCTTTCGATACAGCCAAATCTAAACTGTCACAAAATAACTTTGCCTTGGGATACAAGGCAGGAGACTTTCAGCTGCACACTAATGTGTAAGTATTGGCTGACCTGGAAGGACTTTATCAGAGCTGCCAAACTCGGTGAGGAGGGAGAATTTACAGTACGCGGTAAAAGATGGATGGAAAGAAGAGGGGGTGCTGATTAGATTGCTTTAAAATAATTCATGTTGAGTGTTTTCATCTCCAGTGCAATTCACATGCGGGAAGTGACTTTCTAACTTTGTCATCCATCTTGTGAGGCTTTGAAACAAAGTATTTTTTGATGTTTTTTACACCCTAGTGGGGGCAAACTGTTGGTTCATTGCAGAAGATAATGATCAAATGATTGTGGGAAAGGAAAGGTTATTCTAAAGGTTACTATTTCTAAACACATCTTGACACCCTTTTATCTAATACAAACAGGAACGATGGCACTGAGTTTGGTGGGTCAATATATCAGAAGGTTAATGATAAGGTTGAGACATCAGTAAATCTTGCCTGGACTGCTGGGAGTAACAATACACGGTTTGGGATTGCTGCTAAGTACCAACTGGATGAGAAGACTTCCGTTGTGGTAAGAGTTTTGTTACATGAGCGAGTAGTTGGGATATGTTTCCCTGAATGCTGCAAATCAGTTGTATGAAATAATTTCTTCAGATGTTGTTACTGAGGAAGTATGGAAGATGGCAAACTGGGGTTGTGTTGTAGTTCAGCTTTAAACTAGGACATATACACTGTAGAAAGTGTACTGTACAAAGTAGATGGTAAGCTCAGCTTGCAAACCATCTCCTAAAAATGGCCAAACCCTCAAAAGTCAATCCAGGGGCATAGTTTTATCTGAGTATTTACCCAGAGGAATGATTTCTTTTTTCTTCCAGGCTAAAGTGAATAACGCCAGCCTGATTGGACTTGGTTACACTCATTCCCTTCGACCTGGTACGTAAGTCTAAGCAGTTGCAAGTCTTATTACTGCTAGGTAATGGTTTACTTCAATTTCGTCTCTTAACTCTAACCTGCTAAAAAAAATTAGAAATCTTGCCTAGATTGAGCCAGAGCCCAGGTACTTGAGCCAGTGAGGCTCAAGTACCTTCAGTTATGCAGGGAGACAAGTGCTGAACTGCATTTCATTTGAACATTGGTCTCATGGTTTTTCCAGGTGTAAAGCTGACCCTCTCAGGTTTGATTGACGGCAAGAATTTCAGCGCTGGAGGTCACAAAGTTGGGCTAGGCTTCGAGCTGGAAGCTTAATGCAGTTTTGAGGAAAGCAAGAGCTAGACCCCGACATGAAGAAAATGTATCCCCAGAGGGTTTTGGCCTTAACATTATTCCGCTATTTCAAAAAGTGTGAACTTTGACTCTTCCAAAGAATTGCTTTTAACCCAACACTGAAGTCCAGAAGGTGCAAACACCTCCAAGGAAGATACTTGAAGGCATGCATGGAAGTTGTAATGTTTGTGCCACATTTCAGTCTAGTTCCTCCTGTTTTAATTGGGCTCCTAAAAACAGCATCTTGTTACCAAGGAAGAACCCCCTACATCTCCCCTCTAGTATATTGCATCCTGCATGTCTTAGACTTCACCACCTTTTATAGAAATTGTCTCCGTGTTGTAGTGGAAACGTTGGTTCTTCATCAGAGCGAAATAAAACCAGTCACAGTTGGAACATGATGGTTTTGTGTTGCATCCCTTACTAAGGCTCAGATAAGCAAAGCAGCACAGAGTACTGTTTTGGGGGGGATTTCTTCTTTTTTGTGTGTGTGTTAAAGAGGGTTAACAGACCCATAATTTAATAAAGCATGTGCAGTCTATCTACACCCTCTAGAATAATATCCTTACCTCTCACGTTTTAGAGACCTACACAAGGAAAGCAGCTTTTTCATTAAAATTGTATTGATGGTATCAAATAGAGCAAACCAAAAGTTTACACATATCTGTTATTTCGTTCCCATACAGGAAACAAGTATTAGGTAAGTACAACATTACACTTGAGGAAAAAAAAAGTGCAAATCGGCAGAGTTAGGAAAATAAGTTCACAGTTCAAGTATATTATGAAGATAATTATCTACCACTGACTGTGCAAGATGATTGCATTAAGTTGTTCACCATTCATTAGAAGGAAGCAAAACAATCAAGTGTGATGCCTAAGGGAAGATACAGGTCAGAAAGCAAGAACATTTGCTATCTCAAGGCACAATTAATTTTTTTTCTAAGCGGGCCTTTCTTACTCTATCCTCGTGGGAAAAAAAAAGTGTTTGAGATTAAGACATTAACAGCCAGGCCATGGGCATCACAGAAGCAGTAGGTGACGGTAGGAGGAGGCACTTAAACTTCCCTTTTCAGATGCAGCAGCTTATCACAGTTGGCTTCCTTATGTAGCCTGTCTTCAGGTGCAACCAAAGCGACTTTACATCTGGTTTTGTTCAGGACCGTTTCTTTCTTCTACCTGAAGCTGCAGCCAGCTCCAATCTAGAGCCTGAAGAAGAAAACTGTTACAGCACAAAGTTCCACCACAAGCTCACAGTTGAGGCTATTTACCCTTTATTTCAGAAAAGGGGTTAAAAGCATCATTTTTTTTTTTTCAGTTCCACCCCAAAGAAATTGCTCAAAATAATTTCAGAGGAAAACCTGAAATTGCTCGTTTTCCTTGGGATTTTCTTTTCAATTATCTATTTCAGTGAACAAGTCCACCCTCGACATCCCCACAGACCCTTTCTATCCGTTACTCCTGGCCGGAATGCTGCCACCCCAGGAGGATTTTGACTGCCAAACCGCCCGTCTACGAGTGTTTTTGTACAAGAGCCCAGTCCTCTATTTCTCCACGGAAGGGGAAGCCCCAGTACGTGCAAGGCCGCGTTGTTCAGCGTAAAGTCAGGCCCCAAGGTCTGATTCCCGTTGCCTTCAAGGAAGGAACGGGTTGGCCAGCAGTTCAGAGGAGGGGTTTGCCTCTCCCACACATCCTATCCTCTTCTTAAACCACAGTAATTAGCGGACATTTATTATTTGTTCATAGTTAATAATATGGTAGGAAACCATAGACTTCCATGGATTATTTATACAAAAATAGTCAAAGTGTTACCATGAGGCTCTGGTCCTTCATTGTGTCCTGCATCACATTTTCAAGTTGGCTGCAGAGTTTCTGTGATTCCAGCAGTAGCTCCTCACTGAAAAGGACAATTGTTAGACAGTTATTTTCCACTCAGATTTTCTCTACAAAGATGCTGCCACTACCATTTACTGGGGCTGGGGAAAGGAAGGTGTTCAAACTGGAATCGAGTTTTTATTATATCAATTCACTGTTAGAAAAAAAAAGTTACAAAATAAAAGTCTTTATAGTAGAAGATTAAATACCACACAAGCAAATAAGCCAACGTCTGACATTCCAGAACTATAAAAAGGAACCTCATTCCTTTAAATAAGCCGGAATCTTAAGTATTTGCTTGATGTAACAGGCTCTCCCTAATGATATACGGTCCAGCTACCCTTACCTAACATGAGAAGGCTCCAGCAACTCCTGCTGGCACTACACTTCAAATAAGCACAGCCACTTCAGATAAAACAAGGCCCTGTAGGTCAACTTATACGTTATTTCCAGTTGTTCCTGAAGGAAGATTCACAGGCCCCAAGAAATTCAGCTATTAGGTAGAAAGCACCGTGGCAGTCGAGGCCAGGCACAAAGAACACCTTCATTTCACCAAGCAGGACGCCCAAGCTCGTGCTGATGACGTGAGCAGCTACACAGCTCCAGACCTCACCTTTTCCTGATTGATTCGGGTAAATTGTAGGTTCCGGAAGGCACCTGCAGCAGCAGCTGACCAGGGCTGCTCAGTCGCGAGGTGCTCATGCTCTCTGGGCTGCCAGTGACAGGACCACGGACTTTACTCTGAAGAAAAACACAGCAGATTCAGGCTGCAGTTACTGCCATTTAGCTCCAGCAGGCAGGAGCACAGGAGCTCAGAGCTTAGCTTCAACCTTGCTACACATTAATGACCAAAAGCAACCACAGGACACACCGTACTACTGATTTCTTTTACTCTGTTCTACTCTGTTATCCTAAAAACACAGTTTTACTCAAAATCTTTTTCCTATTTCCACTCACACAGGCAATTTTCAGCAGGTTCCACAGCTCTTTCTGTCGTTTCTCCTGAAGCCTAACAACTGTATTCTCGTCTTCATTCATCAGATTCATCACCTTCTCCACTCTAGGGAACAATTCCAGTGCCTTCTGCTTGCAAACTACAGTTTTACTGTTTAAAGGAAAAAAAAAAAAAAGAGAGGTCACAAATGTGCAGCAGCAGCAGGGGAACTTTAGTATCCTCTATAGCACTCAGAAATCACACTCACTGTACACATTTCATGTTTAACCTCTAGAAAAAAAGCTTTTGCTGAAGAGGGAACCCTTTCTCCCCACTTCTCAACAAAAGCTGACTCTGAAGCTCACCTGAGTTGAGCATAAATGACCCGGACTTTTTTTTCAAACGTTTGAATTGCCTGTAAGAGCAGTCGTACTATTTCTTGGCTGTCACCACTGGTCCTCTGATCTGGAATAGGAGTCAGATTAGAACATAAATAAATAGGCTCATAAGAAAGAGTGAGATTGTTAGCAGTTCAGAGCACGTGGAAGTGAGTGGGATGAAGGGCACTGGATTTTAGCTATTCTCCTCAGAAAGATGAGAAACAGAAATCAAAATTGGAACAGCAGGTTTACTGCCAGAAGCACCCAAGAGAGCCACAGTTGGGAAGAGGTAGCAGCAAGTTTAAAATCGGTTTAAAATCTTAAAATTGTCTAGAGGAGACCATCATGCATCCAGTGTATAGCCAGGCCTGGAATGCAGAGGAAGTTTTCTCAATGCAGTTTACTGCGTCTCCAGAGTTCAAACCTGCATAAAGAAAGCTGACCGTGACCTAAAATGTCTTTTACTTCTTTTGGCCTAAAATGTCTTTTACCTCTTGGCTTCTCTCTCAGCCTCCTGTACAGCTCCCTGGCTTGTTCTTCTCTAAAAGAAAGAAGCAGAGAAGAAAAAGTGATTTCTTCAAGATCACCATCATGAACTGTTAACTTCAACAACTCAAGTCTTCTATACACCAGTCTGCAATTTCAGACCAACAGATCAGGAGTCAAAAATTGTCTTTTAGTGTCATGTTAAGTCCTGCCAGCCCCCCATAATTCTGGCTGGAAAAGGCAGCCCCAGGGCCCTGCAGTGAAAAAGCAACTAAGCTACAGTAGCAGCACTCTATATAGAAATTTCAACAAGGTTCAACTCACAAATCTTCCAGGGTTCCTCCTTGTTTACGACCTAGTGGGCTTCTCTGCAGGTCCACAATGTCTGTCTGCAAGGCCATCATCTTCTTCACTAGCTGATCCACATCCTCCTCCTGAAAGCAAGGCAGCACGTAAGCAATGGGACAGTCTCCCACTAAGAGACACTACCTCACTGGCTCTTCCTTTCTCATTCATTTTTTTAAACATTCACATCAGCAAGATGCAAACAGCAGCCTTGGACGAAAAAGAATGAAAGGGTTTTAAATTTCCATTCAAGGAAACAGGCTTGGTGATTTGGGATAAAACTACTTCCAAGAACCTTTCTATGCTAAAATGGGGTCATAAAAAAGTGCCATTGAAGGGTCACACTTTACGGTAAATGTATGGCCAGTTCCCAGGCTTCCTTTTCCTTGTTACATGGCGAGAACCATGAGGAACAGGCAAGGAAAACATGATGCAGTCCAAACCAAGAGAGCATGTCTGCAGTCAGCTCAAACTCAAGAGGTTTTTACTTCAGGAAGGAGAGTGAGAAAAGTCTCCTTTTCTTTAGGATAAGCAATTAGCTCTAGAAACATACCCGCCCACAGAGTTCCACAGCCTGCTCCATCTCTTTCCAGGCAAACAGCAGTTTCTCAGAAGCTACAGGAACAAGAGAAGAATGATTGCTTTTCTTGGAGTAACACAGGAAAAGGGAGGCAATATACTAGGGCATGAGGCAAAAAAAAACCTCCGTTTGCCTGATGCAACACTCACTAATTCCAAATTCAATCTGCTCTTTATACTTCTCCAGATCAATCTGGATGCTTGTTTTGAAGAAGTCCAGCTTTGCTTTCAGCTGCTGGGAGAGCGAGGCCATAGAATTCTTCATCTTCGACAGGGTACTGTTGTAACGCAACAGATTCATCCTGCAAGAACAAGATCATGCTACACACCCAACCTATAAACCCAAACCTCCACATTTATCAAGAGGGGATAGTGCCGAGTGTAACAAAAACCACAAGAGCAGCCGTGTCAGAGGATGCAACTCAGAGGATATAAAACTTTTCTTTAGTTGCAAGCAGCTTCACTCATGGGCTCCCCCTGAAATAGGGGTCCAACTCCTGCCCTTTCCTTTTCAAGGGGGAGCAAAGGTAGAAACAAGTATTCTAGAGAGGCTGCCACCGTACATGGCTGCTCGCTGTCCCTGCTGGAGGCGGTTACAATCCTCTTTCAGCCTCCGTATTGTGTGCCAGATCTGACCCCACACTTTCCGCAACTGGAAAAAGTGGAGATTCTTCTTTGGATCCTGAACTGGAAACAAAAGGAAGGGAGAAAACATACATTTCAGCATGAATAATACCCAAAGCAGTGTTATTACATGACGAGATAAACCAAAACGTTACTCCTTGGAAGGGCACATAGCCAAG